TCAAAAGGTGCTGGCAAAAATGAATGGGAATTGGCAGGGGCGTACGCCGCTCGCCTCCAGGAGTGGTTCCCATGCCAACTGATGAACCACCATTACACACAATTGAAATGCTGTTTTTCGTACCCCACAGAGTTTCTGCATATTCTCCTCAGACTGGGTGACATCCACAAGCTGCTGGACGATGTCATTGCTACGCATTTATGGTTTTAAAAGACTGAACGTTTCCCCGTTTTATGGATGTTTTGTTCAGCATGACGATTGCATGCAGTCTTGAAAGCTGCCTAAGTTTCGAATCATCTGGAGCAAACATCACACAGGGCAAGCAGAAGCCACCATTGCATGCCTGTCAAAAGACTATCCAGGGTAACTCCTCCAACAAGGATAGTTGAAAGCGGCGCTGTTTGCCATCCATCTGGATACGCACAGGAAATGAAATCCTTCGCCTGCGGTGGCGCACAATGATTGTCGATGACGGAAATCTTTTCCGTGTCCAGCAAATTTCGGGGGACTGGATTCCACTGTGGACGTCGACTTTCAGAATATCTCTTCCAACACACTCCCATGTCATTGAAATAAGTTTTGGATGATCCAGCAGCTTCCAACAACGGTCGCTCTACAGCTTCGCCGACGATTTCTTCCTCAGCGCTGCTCGTTGCATGCATACTTCACTTGCACGTCAGGTGCGTCTGCATTCTCATCTATCGCTTGACCTTTGCCACTAGCACTGGCTACACACTTTGCCTGCAGCTCAAAATAGCTCTGAATAGAGCGCTGGCCCTCTGGATGTCGACTCTTCATTTTTCGAAAGCATCGTCAAAACACGACCAACTTTGTCAAAACAAACTCCAAAAGAAAATTTGACTCTGAGATCGAGGAATCCGGCGATGTAACTAGACTAGAGACTTTGTTGAACCCATGATGGGTTCAGGCATGGCCCAGTTCAGTAGATCTACGCTGTGTCCCACTCCCAGCACCACTTTCCCACCTCAGTCCTGGGCTAGTCACCGTCCTCGGACCGGCAGGCGGACTCCAGACATGCACTGCATGCACTTGCACTGTGAGTCTGTGAGCGCTGGGCCTGGCCCTGGATCAAAAAACTCTCTGTACCCATATCGAATTTGTTTTACTGGTTCCCGGGCATCCCGGGAACCGCCCTATGTACGCCCCTGATTGGATACCAATACTCCTTATGTGTACCATGTTTGTGAACTGCGTGTATCTAAGCTGTGACCTTTCGACCTGTTTGTGATGCATACGGCTCTATAGTACAAATTAGGTGCAGTGCATTACATCATTGATGTCCATTTGAGGCGCTGTCCCCTATGGCAAGTGTCCGATTTCACTTGCCACAACTGTACATTGCCCGTCCGGTAGTGCAATGTCTCACATATTAAACCAATCATACTGTCATGAGCTACATGTCGTGTTGCTTCTATGGTGCGAATCCATTTCGGTTATAAAGAACCTGGCCTATAGAGAAGTAATTCTCCTGTACAATGGTGTTGGTTATATCAGGAGTTGAATTTGCTATGGTCAAAACAGTACTATCTATACAGTATGGATGCTGTTCACGTTATGAGGTCACCGCTATGCACAGGATACTGCATTAATGGAAGAAGACATTACAAACACTGCTACCTTGAGGTTATTTTCAACAGAATCAACACACACACACACAAACTACTTTGACTTTTCAACGCCCGTCGCGGGAGGCGATGGTAGCGGTGCCACGGCAGAAACCATGGCAACTTGTGCGGGAATTGCACCATTCAACAGCTTGCAAGGCTGAAGAATTGACCTCAACTATTCAGCCTCAGTAGTCCACACCACACAGGTTTGAAGCGGGTTTTTGTAGCCACACACAAACACACACACACACACGCACACACACACACATACACACACATGCACACACACATACACGCACGCGGGCGTGCATGCACGTGCACCCACGCCTGCGTGCACACGCACACGCACATGCGCGCACGCACAGACATACACACACACACAAGCACCATGTACCATGTGCACCAACCACGTGAGTAGACAGAATCAGTACAAGGAAAACGTGATGTCGATGTGAACAATTCAAACTAACTGTTGCATAGATATCCTAATCATATGATTAATCTGCTAGAAAACAATCCAATAAGTAAAATTAACCCTAGGACGGCCACCACTTTCAGTACTCCTAGAACGGCCAAACGGTGTCATTTGACACCTGCATACATTTCCATGTCTAAGACCTATGATATAGGTTATTATAGTTTTTTGTTTTCAGTGCTGGCTATCACTAGCGGCATTTATGATGTACACAACACATTAGGAGACACTCAGACACTATTGTTGACTATACGCAACTAAAATACGATGTACGCGTAACGGCAATTGCGAAGGATGAACTCAATTACTGGCAAAACTTCAATTACTTGCATAGGAATGTCTTATAATCACAGAGTTACATTAACAAGCAATGTGTCAACGTCACTGGGCACATGGAGAACTGCTTTTTGGGAATATGTGCTTTGGCATAATCGGATTACTCGACCGTCACGATGAATAACACACAGTAGCAAGTACAAACATGGAATGACTATGAACATCATTGTTTCACCAAGCTGACATGGTTTCAAGATTAGGCGAGTAACGACTGAATTTTAGACTCTTTCAAAGAGGTATACCCTTCTCTTCTCCTTGGCCGGCACTTAGAAACCAGATGCCATGACTATCTACAAGCTTATTGACCAGTGCAGGAATGAGCGTTTTCTGGATGTGCATGAACTAGCAAAGGTCTGGGATATTGTGAAGGCGTTGATGCCTGTCACATCTATTCTTTTATGTAACCGCCTTGCAAGGGGACATCTTCTGGAATAGTCTTTGTTGAGTAGATCCACCACATTCGAGCGAAATGGTCAAGGACATATCTCGTCTTTTGCTAGAATTTGTCTATGTGGGGCTTCCTACTCTCACCATGTAAAACATATGGCTCTAGGTGGTCTACGCTAGGCGGACCATTGATAATTCTTGCTATTTCTACCTTCTACGTCTACCGTCTTTTCATCCTACAATGTAATCTTGAAAAACAAAATGCAATCCGCGAATAGTGGCAATGAAGTTAGATGGTGGTTCACTTCAATTTACTAAAGTGGTTCATACTGCAACTCTTTCTTCTCCAACAGTTTCTTGACCAGTAGTGCATTGATGATGAAGTTATCAGTTATTACTTAGCAATCACCTTCTGCAGCATCCGGCGCCACTAAAGAGAGAGAGAGAGAAGGCATCCCAGCGGCTGCCTACCCGTTTAGCCTGAAGCGGGGAGGAAGAGGTTTGGTTCAAGAGCCTTATTTGCTCGTCAAGTAGTTAGAAAGGATTATCTACACAGCACCATCCTTGCGATAATGCCGTTTACCATCTCCAGGTTACAGAGTTGCGATTCCTCTTCCTCAACACTATCCATTTCGGGGTCTCCACCACTCCTGCAACTGTTTCTGACAATTCCTTGTCTGGACTATCCCGCAATCCTCGTCCGCTCTCTGGAAGCTCGTAAACCTCAATACATTCTGAATCCACAGGTACTCAGGTGTTGTGACCGCGCGATTCGCCCTCATATGACAGAACAGATCCACCACTGCCAATGGTCACTACACTTGAACAGCCATAAAATGAAGATAAAGTGGGAAATTTGGCTTTCATGGTCATCAGATTCATGCATGGTAATTGGCTACATCTATTCTAGTATTTCCTTGGCCGTCAGACCGCGATGGCTCCTCTGGGGCAATTTACAGGAAAATGAAAGGGAATGATCTGTATCAAGGCCATTAGCTGAAGAGTGTTTGTGTAATCTGTGCACTAATGGTTACCCGCCCCAAATTCGCAATTCTCGCCCGACGGTTGTATGTTGATCATATATTTTGTCCTGTATACAGCGATTTTCCTGCCCATGCACCTTTCTTTTGTCTGGTTGGCATACGAGAAACTCGATATGGCCGACACCAGTAGTAAGTGCGGGGCAGGTTCTGGCACACTTTTTGACCTTTGACCTTTGGTCCAAATAAGGCACACTGTGTCGGTCGTGCTGGGTCTGGCCTCGGGATCCCCCAGAGTTTGACCTTTGACCCCTGGCATGCCATAAATGTCATTCTTAAGGTTCTTTTCGCCATAGATGGCGAACGTGCACTTGTGCACGTTCGGTGCATTCGCACCGGGGAGTAGTAAAATACGTACTATCCCCTGATTTGCACATCGTAGATGTGCATTGCATGCAGTGAATGACATATTGCGCATGCGTGCATACGCACGCGGAGCGTGTGACCTTCAGTGGTCCTATGCGTGTGGAAAAGACGCAGTGCAACACAAGGTGTACTAGTACACGTGTCATTATACTACTCCCTGATTCGCACTTCGTAGATGTGCAGCAAACAAGCTCACGTTCCGTGCATTCGTTTTATTTGCACATCGTAGATGTGCACTGATTGACAAGTTGCCCATGCAGAGCATGCCTAATCGGCTTTTCGATCGGTTAAGAGAATGTTCAAATTCGGCCATATTATGAGCCCCAAGATCAGAACTCGGCTCAACGTAGTACTTGAAGTCACCGTTCCCATTAGGTCATGTACATTTACACACACTCTGTTGAAGCACTGAAACATCGGTTTTCGGCGAATTCAACAAGCGAAATTTGAAAATTCGGCGAAAAGATGGGTGATTTCTTCAAAACCACTTTCTTCGGCGAATTTTTCGGCCGGCCGATTTGGGAAATGCCTACTATCCATGCAGGTGCATTAGATGCATATTTCTATTTTGATCGGGATACAGTAAGAATCAACCGGCTACGCCCGGAGTATCATGCATCAAAACAATTATTGAAGGGGTGTCACAGTGAAGCAGTGTTGCTACGCACCGCAAATCCCCTCTGCACTGCACCGAATCTATACTGGAGAATCCAGAGTGACCAGCAAAGAGTCACAACCCGCACGTATCCAGTCACACTAAGGCATATCCACCATTCCCCACATATTCACTGTAACAAAACACAATACTGTTTACTATAATGCACTTTTATTTAAATGGACTTGGATGAGTCTGTAGAAGAGAACACAATGCACGCACACGCATGCATGCGCGGGCACACACACACACACACACACACACACACACACACACACACACACACATCTAGGTTATAGTGCTATACACATATCTAGGGTTTAGGAAGCACGAGAATGTGTCGAAGCACCCACACATACCCCTTCATGCAGTGTACTTCAGTAGCCCAACACATTACGACTGCACAGGACCATCACAAAACACATTACGACTGCACTGTTACTACACTACACACACAGTTACTACACTACGCCTGTTACAAGTACTTACAAATAATTTTGAAACAAATGGCACATCCCGAAGACGGCAGGTCCAGACCTTCATACATCATCATCATCTGTAAAACCAAGCATGAGCGCACACAAACACTATTAGTGTCACGAATACGGAAGCAGGGTATTAAAGACAAGAGGATACGAAACAAGTAAGTATCGCTATAACGAGGGGGATAAGTATACATGTAGACAGAGCAGTGCTTACTTACAGGGTCCTAATACGCTCCACGGCGTCCCGGTAGTCGAACTGCAACAGCAGCCCGACCTGCCGGCCCTCCCAGTAACGGGTTAGATGGGCCGCACCCGCCAGGTGTGCGGCCACGGCTGGGCCTCCCACCAGCCTTTCTCCACTGTAAAAACGAAAGAAACCGCAGAAAGCACAGTGTCATAGAGCTCTTTTGTTGGGGGAGAGAGCTAGGAGCACTGCACACTTACCATTTGTCACAATATATGATGAGAAAGAGGCGGCGCTTGACGCACCGCCTCAGGTGCTGGAATAGGGGTATTACCCCTGACATTCGAACGCTACAGTGACAAGTGAAAGCCATTTGGACTGTAATGATACTGAAGTGAAGGTGTGAACCGCAAAGCAAGACCTTTACCTTCTTCCTGTCGAATTCGCTCCCCAGCTGCATACCGACATCATCCGCTAAAACCCAATCATACCAAGTAACGCAAAGGTCATCAGTTGACCTTTTGGACTTTTCAACTCTTATCCAAAACCACCAAGAGGAAAAAACCAGGATGAAGAAGACGTCAGATGTAGAAGCGTTTGTGGAGGAGTTGTTACATTATTCTCAGTAAATAGATATGGCTGATACATTCGGTGTAGACGTGGACGACCGGTCGTGGTCTCTCACCACGGGTCCTTTACTAATAGAAAGGCGGACGCCAATAAGAACTGTTGTGGAGGTGGCAGATCAAAACGCGCAGCAAGAAATTTGGCACGTCGATGGTAGACTCCATCGGGAGGACGGACCAGCTCTTGTTGATAGTAGGGGAGTGTCCGCCTGGTGCTATGAAGGTCGCCTTCATCGCGTTAATGAACGGGCTTGGATAGGACGGGGTAGCATCGAGTACTACCTCAACGGCGCCTAGAGCCGGCGGTCCTGCAGCCAGTTATTGTGACGCCACATGCTGTATTCTACGGTGGTATCACCAAGGAAGGCTCCACAGGGAGAATGCGCCAGCGGTTATATACAGGGAAGGTAACAATCGTGTACGGGAGTGGTACCGATACAACCTTCGGCATAGGGAAGATGGACCTGCTTTCATCTCTCAGGAGGAGGAGGGTGTCTATCAGTGGTACCTCAACGGGGTGTATTACGGTGACCACCATCAAGACCAGGCAATACACCCCATGGAGCTGCAGTACATCAATGTAGTGCCTACTAAGGTAGACTCGTCAGCAATAAGTCATGAGTCCAGTTGTGTGATTTGTCAGGATGCCCTGGATCGTCCTCTATCCAAGTTGGAGTGTGGTCATGAATTTCACTTCCACTGTATCAAGGAGTGGATCAGTTCTGCCCCCAGCCCTACTTGCCTAACCTGCCGCTACTCCATGACTGCTGAGGACTTGGTTGAGTTCTTGTAGTAATACATGACACAGCTGCATGTAGGCGACTACGAATGACCAGTCATGTGCTACAGACGGACACGGACACGCCACCCTAAGTAGCCATGAGCGTCTCTTTGGACAAGGGCAACAAAGCACCCCGTGGGCGGCCAAGGTTGACACTAGCCACAAGTCTGCTCGCTCAGTTGAATAAGCTGGGTGTGCCCATGAAGACCATGGAAGACCTTTCCAGGTGCCGGCAACAAGCAGAGGACAAGACAGACTGGAAGAAACTGTGCAGCTCGACACTCGAGGACAAATCAGTATCAGCAGCTACTACACCTTGCTGATGATGCTCACAAGACAGAAGTGGGAAAAACACTGAATTTCTTTATTTAGTGCTCAACTACGCGAAATGTGTTATTATTATTATACATGTTCAACTGTACTCAGTCTGGCTGACTGCCATTCTCTACCACACATTACCGGACACTGTTGTGGGTGTCGTCGTTATCGTCGTCGTTGTTGATGTTGTTGTTGTGGGTTGTTGTCGTCGTTATCGTCGTCGTTGTTGATTTTATTGGTGGCTGTTGTTGTCGGTTGTTGTCGGTTGTTGTCGTTGTTTGTTGTTGGTTGTTGTTGGTTATTGTTGGTTGTTGTTGGTTGTTGTTGGGTGTAATTGTTGGTTGTTGTTGGTTGTTGTCGGTTGTTGTCAGGTGTTGTTGGCTGTTGTTGGTTGTTGTTGTCGGTTGTTGTCGGTTGTTGGGTGTTGTTGTCGGTTGTTGGGTGTTCTTGTTGGTTGTTGTTGGTTGTTGTTGGTTGTTGTCGGTTGTTGGTTGTTGTTGGTTGTTGTTGTTGGCTGTTGTTGGTTGTTGTTGGATGTTGTTGTCGGTTGTTGTCGGTTGCTGGTTGTTGTTGTTGGTTGTAGTTGGTTGTTGTCGGTTGTTGTTGTTTGTTGTCGGTTGTTGTCGGTTGTTGTCGGTTGTTGTTGGTTATTGTTGGTTGTTGTTGGTTGTTGTTGTTGTGTGTTGTTGGGTGTTGTTGTTGGTTGTTGTCGGTTGTTGTCAGGTGTTGTCAGGTGTTGTTTGCTGTTGTTGGTTGTTGTTGCCGGTTGTTGTCGGTTGTTGGGTGTTGTTGTCGGTTGTTGGGTGTTGTTGTTGGTTGGTGTTGGTTGTTCTTGGTTCTTGTCGGTTGTTGTCCGTTGTTGTCGGTTGTTGTTGTTGGTTGTTGTTGGTTGTTGTTGGTTGTTGTTGGTTGTTGTTGGCTGTTGTTGGTTGTTGTTGGTTGTTGTTGTCGGTTGGTGTCGGTTGTTGGTTGGTTGTTGTTGTTGTTGGTTGTTGTTGGTTGTAGTTGGTTGTTATCGGTTGTTGTTGGTTGTTGGATGTTGTTGTCGGTTGTTGTCGGTTGTTGTCGGTTGTTGTTTGTTGATGTTGGTTGTTGTTGGCGATTGTTGGTTGCTGTTGGTTGTTGTTGGTTGTTGTCGGTTGTTGTCGGTTGTTGTCGGTTGTTGGCTGTTGTTGTTGTTGGTTGTTGATTGTTGTTGGTTGTTGTCGGTTGTTGTCGGTTGTTGTCGGTTGTTGGCTGTTGTTGTTGTTGGTTGTTGATTGTTGTTGGTTGTTGTGGGTTGTTGTCGGTTGTTGTCGGTTGTTGTGTTTTAATCGTTATTTTGTTCATTATCCAGGAGGATGTTGCTATGATACAGTACCATTTTTTCGCATATTTGAGACAAGTTTGTGTAACGTTAGTGTGACGTGGGGTATGCTGATTGGATGTGAGGTGGTGAGAGTATGCTGATTGGCCGATAACAATTAGTGGAAGGGATAAAGTAATGCGCTGCTTGTGCAGCTTAACCAAACACATGGTCTGTGGGAAACACCTTAGTAAAATAAATATAATAATAATAACATGAATTGCCACCGGCACCTGAGAGACTCGAGCCCCGCAACCTTGTTCAAATCGGACTTGGTAGCTTCGTACTGGAACTTAATCTTCTTCTTTTTGAGGTATGACCATACAAAACGCGCTTGGATTTTTTCATTTATTTTATTTTTTATTTTTTCATTTTTTTTTTCATTGCGACATTTTTAGCAGATGTCCACTCGTGAAACAAAGGTGAATCTGGAACGAATAAATGGTCCATGTCAAAGGCATGACGAGTCTTGAAGTCTTCACATTCATGATGGAACCTTGTCATGATTGACGCATTCCTTGATGGTGCGCACATGAAATCACCCTGCCCCATCTTTTCCAATTCCATTCTTTTCACATCCTGCAACACATACCCTACTAGTATCAGTGGGGGGTGCTAGAATCAGAAGAGGCAAGGCAGCACTCTTCCGTGGATGTATTACTCGACACAACACCACCCATACTTGTTTTCTAGAAGTTTTGACTATAATGATATATTGCAGTAGGAAGTAGTATATAGTCAAATAGGATAGGATAAGAATGAATGATCAGCTGTCTGATAAAGAATGCAGTTCATTAAAGACTTATTGGAAGCTCTCTACCAGCTGATCGTCTTGTTGGACGGCGACACTGCATAATGATATGAAGCTCTCAGTTAGCTGTTTCAGTTCCGTGGTAGAAAGTGTCATGTGCGCGTCCAGAGCAGGATGAAAACATCTGGGCTCCACGTGGATGCAGACGATTGGAGCAACAGTAAGACGTACCTTCAACGCCTGCTCGTCAATGTCGAGGGAGACTGCCCCGGGGTAGATGAAAACATCTTGTTCCACATCCAGTTCGAACGAGCTGGTCGGGACTAGCTTGCTTTCACCGTTGATGTACACCCGACACTGACCGTAGGACGAGCGTGATGGGTAGAAGTTGGTCTTGATCTTCTCCACACGTCCTCTTCGGAGAGTGTCACGGAGCGATGGACAAGTCTTGATCAAGTTCGTAATGATGAACTCAGTGGACTCATTCAGTTCGATGTAAACCTGTCCTTGAGCATCTTTGCGAGCTGTTGCCGTACTACCACAGGCTGGTAGAGCTCCTGAAGGGAAGTACATCTTATAACCAGGCTTGTAGAAGGATCTACCTGATGACTTGTAGGACAGTTGCATGTCCTCCTGAAACCCATCCACCACAATCTCTTTGTGGAGCTTGGTAGGAGCAGGTGGCACATAGCGACGCTTAGCCGGTACTGCGTTCGAAGAGAGCACAACTTGAGGAGGGTCAGCAGGAAGAGCGGAATTCTTCCTCACCCGTCGCTCGTATAGGGAATCCATCTTCCAGGAAGCGAAGGCAGAACAACTCATCAGCACTGTATTCGATGAACGAATGACTCAACTACAGGACAACCATCTGTATTTATACAAGTCTGAGACGGGGGCGGATTGAAATGTTAAAAATATGTGTCAGCTAGATCAACCAATCACCATCAAGCCCGACACAAACATTTGCCCAATCAGCATTGAGCCCGCCAAAAAACATTTGACCAACCAGCATCAAACTCGCCAAAAACATTTTGTCCAGTCAGCGGCATGCCCACCAAATAATATCTCATCTTAAAGATTCCTTACATAATAAAGCCACTTTAGTGAACTGATACAGTATGCAAATAAGATCAAAGTCAAACGTGTGCAAGTTCTGAATCACGTGATCAAGTGAATAGGTTTCCCAACAATAGGCATCAATCAAAGATGTCATAAGAGATGTATCAGATGGAGATAAAATCAGCAAATTCGTACGCAACGTGGACAGTTGAGATGAAGACACCATCCTGGTCGACTCCATGAGATGCAGTACATATAGGAGTGGAAAATGCTGAGGAAGAGGTTCCATGATTCGACTGAACCTCAACCATGATACATTGCTACGAGGTAAGTAGGAACGCAGTTTACGTAGTACATCCACATTCGTATCGTATACTATGCAGGATAATGCTATAGCATAGTTTATACTCTTGTACAAACAGGATTTTTTCATCGCAAGTATCTGCTCCCGAAGAGGGTGTACGCAAAGCTGATCGGATAAGAGTTGAGTTTTCGAAAGAAAATGCAAAAGATGACGATCCACACCGCATAACCGCTCATGTACCGCGTAACGCTTCTTCAT